TTGTTTTATATTCCATATGCTTATTTATAATAGAAAATACTAATTGGTATCAAATCTACTAACAACTGTAGATTTGTAAACATTTGTGAGTGAATTGGGAATAAATTTACAACTTTTCTGTGGAGGTCAATGACCTTTTCACCTTTCACCATTACGTCAATTTCTGCCTGTTTCAAATTTTGTTTCAATTTGAATGACTGACCAATCTATAGGCTAAATGTTGATACCAACATCATACATATCCATTGAGTAAATCAAGAGTTATGAGCATCTAATTTTATCCCCTACCCTAAAAACTGTTGTTGATTACAAATTCTAAGATTATAACACAATAACAGTAGTACATTTAATCAATTTATACATTTTTCTTGATAATATCCTTGTTTTATATTCCATATGCTTATTTATAATAGAAAATTTTTATCAAATCTACTCACAACTGTAGATTTGTATACGTTTGTGAGTGAATTGGGAATAAATTGACAACTATTCTGTGGAGGTCAATGACCTTTTGACCTCTAGCTACGTCAATTTTTGCCTGTTTCAATTTTTTGTTTTCAATTTGAATGACTGACCAATCTATAGGCTAAATGTTGATACCAACATCATACAAATCCATTGACTAAATCAAGGGTTATGAGCATAATGTGACCCCTACCCCAAAAACTGTTGTTGATTACAAATTTCTCGGATCATAAATATTGACAATAGTACATAATACATTTTAATTTTTTTCTTGTTAGTTTATCACCCTATCAAAGAATAAAATCTGATGAGGGAGGGAGGTTTTTTTTTTTTTTTTTTTTTGCTAACCCCGCCCCCATTTTACCGATGATCACAGGTAAATCAATGGTTAGAGACACATATATAAAAGTCATAAGAATGGAATCAAGTTTATATTTTAAAAATATGTTTTTGTTGTACCAGTAAACATAATTCCAAGAAATCCTGAGCTTTTCAAGTGAAAAAAGATGGAAAAAGACCATTTGAAATGAAAGTATATGTTGATAGGAAAAAAAAAAAATTTCCCCAAAAGTGATGTGGGAGCGGGTGATAAACTAATAATTTTTTTTATGGGGCCTTAACCTCAATTTTTGTATTCCATATGTTAATAACTACAAGAAAAACCACAATTTGTATCAAATACATCCAAAATTAGACATATGACACTGAAGTTTATTGATATTTTATAAAAAAATTGCATTTTAGAAAAAGGTCGATGACCTTTTGACCTCTAGTGACGTTAATAATTGTCGGATTAATTTTATTTAAACTGCATATGATTAAGAAACATATATGCTACATATTGCTACCAAAAATAACATTGATGGGATTTTTAATTCACAGGTTATGGGCATAAATGTTACCCCTTCCCCCCCCCCCCACAAAAAAAGCATTGACCATAAAACACTAACGACCATTACAATTGAGGCGAGTACATACAATGCATCCCTATATTTTTCTTGTTAAC